ATAGCACAGATGCATATGCGATCGCAACGAGACTGGACCTTAACGTGGTGCGACGGTTTGCGTACCTCATTGACCCATTGAGCTATACTGGGTGATGCCTCCGGGCACCTTGAGAGCTACTCCTACCAGGTTGGTCAATGGTGAGAGATCAGACAAACTCAGTCTCCTGGTCCTCCAGGTTGGGGGTTTGAAATGGGATGGCGTCCATTTCTGTAAAACTAAATCATTGCCACCTCCTCGCTGCTTTGCGGACAGGCTTTTGAGCCAAAGGCTTTGGATGAGGACCCTAATCGTCCTCCTGTCTAGGTCTGGGCGCCCTGGCAGTATCCCAGCCCACATACAACCATGACATTTTCTTCAAACATAAACTTCATCCTGCATCGGCCGTCGCGCAGATTATCAAGGGTTGCCTTATCTGCTGCATACAGCAGGGCGGATAAGCGAAAACATGCTACTGCTAGCGCCTCCCTTCTTTCTTTTCCACCTTTTTCTCTTGCTCCCATCCCGACCCACATTACTAACCTCTAATTCCCAGTTTAATCGATAGCAACCAAAGTGCCAGTTGAATAGAACCATCTGCAGCCATCATCCCACAGCACCTATCGGACGCCTATCGGCAGAAGTCCCTTATAAGGCCACGCTATCCCGTTTCCATGGCGACATTCAACGGTCGCACCCTAAGACAAACAGGTCAACAGGCTGCACTCGCACGCACCTTGGACACACTGGGTATTGATGTGTGTTGTGTGTCCGAAACTAGGATCAATGACCCTAACGGGGTTATTGAATTAGTTGCACCCGGCTTATCCTCTCGTTATTAGTTGCACGCATCCGGAGACGCCGATGCAGCACTCACGGGTCAAGCTGGTGTAGGTAGCATTCTAAGCTCCAAGGCTGAGCCATCCTTGGTTGATTGGATTCCATTCGGCAGCCGTTTATACGCAGCACGTTTGACGACAGCAGCTAAGGTCGATTCACGAAGTGGTACAAAACGCTGTCTGTTTGTCGTTTCTGCTTATGCTTCCACCGACTGCAGTTCAGATGTTGTCAAGGACACATTCTATCACGAAGTGAACGCGCTACTACGCAGTGCTACTAGTTCAGATATTATAGTACTTGCAGGGGATATGAACGCACAAGTAGGGCGTCTGAGCTCTTCAGAAGCTCAGCTGGGTGGTAATTGTCGGCTTGACACCGACCGTATGGACAACAACGAGCGTCTGTTGCAAATGGGTGCGGAGCATCAGTAGTTTCCTAGTAGCACTGCTTTTAGACACAGTGGGTGCCGAAGTGCCATTTGGCGTCCTCCTGTAACTGGCCAGCGATGAACCCAAATTGACCACATAGCCATAAGTTACAGGTAGCGCGGTTCCATTCTGGATTGCCGCTCGTACTGGAGTACCTGTGTCGACTCTGACCATGCCTTGGTACGCTGTCGTTTCTCCATGAACTTTACCGGAAGGAGCACAAAGCGTCTCCCCCGATTGGCAACGGAGAAATTGTCCCAGCCCTCGGTCAGGCAAGCCTATCAAGAAACACTGCATACCGAACTTCCGCTGTCTTGTCCTAATGACACTGAGCTTCAGTGGAATAGGATCTCGGCCGCCATGCACGACGCAGGAGCACCTGCTTGTGGCACTATCAGTCGTCACCGCACCAGTCACTGGATATCCGAGAAGTCCGTGAACCTGTTGGAAGCTAGAAGACACCTCCCGACTGGCTCTGAACACAATGTGACCAGACGGGCTATTAGGCGTGAACAAAAACAGAGCATACGTGCAGACAAGGAAGCCTGGTGGACCAGTCGGGCTCAAGAAATGGAGGAGGCAGGAGCAGTAGGCAATTACCACAATCACTTCAAGCCAATCCGCACCACTGGTCTCAGAAAACCAGACGTCAGTGAGACAATCAGAGACAGCGCGGGTGCGCTGACAAACCATAAGGAGCGCCGTATGGCTCGTTGGGCGGAACACTTCCAAGATCAGTTCAGCTGGCCTCCTGCTCCCGGACCTCTCAGGTGATGCAGGACGAGCCATGGACAGTTAGTTTAGAGCCTCCGTCGGAGGCCGAGGTCCGAGAAGCGGTCACAGCCGTCAATTGTTTTCGTGCCGCTGGCCCGGATTCCCTACCACCTGCACTATTTTAGGATGGAGGTGAGGTCCTCTGCAAAGCACTGACCTCCCTATTCGAACGTATCTGGAAGGAAGAGTGTCCCGGCTAATTGGAGCGAATCGATTATGGTGGCAATATACAAGAAGGACAGCCGCACAGACTGTTCTAACCACAGAGGTATTAGCCTAACGCCAGTTGTGACAAAATTATTGGCCTCGATTATCGTTCGTCGCCTCACTGCGGAACAGGAATCTCGGATTAGGGAAGAGCAGGCCGGTTTCCGTCCAGGACGAGGCTGTATAGACCATATATTCACTTTGCGGCAGGTGCTAGAGCAGCGCCACGCATACGCAGACCGACAATAGCTGTGTTCCTCGATTTCAAGAGTGTCTTCGATTCAGTCGATCGATCGATTCTGTTCGAAATACTTGCGCGGAAAGGTGTTCCCACGAAATATGTGAACATCCTTCGTGCTCTATACTCGAACACTACAGGCCGCGTCAGGGTCTACGGTGTCCTATCGGATAGCTTTCCGATTACAAGTGGCGTTCGTCAGGGTTGTCCGATTTCCCCGTTTTTGTTCAATTTCGTCGTGGATTCTATCATGGAGTGTTCCCTTGCGGAATCTCACGATGTAGGCGTTGAAGTGCTGCCTGGTGAAAGGTTAGTTGATCTAGATTATGCGGACGATATCGTCTTGCTTTTCGACAATGTTGGGGCGGCCCAATCAACCCTGAATAGCCTGTCCAGAGTGGTCCCATTATTTGGTATGCACTTCGCACCTTCAAAGTGCAAAGTGTTGCTGCAGGACCACCAGCCACTTGATGACCCCTTGACGCTTGCTAACGAGGAACTCGAGGTGGTTGATCATTTCACTTATCTTGTCAGCTGCAGCAGCAATGATGGGCGCATAGAAACTGATGTCAGCTCACGCATTGTAAAAGCCAGAGCTACCTTCTTGAACCTGCGGCATCGTTTGCGAGAGAACGGAGTTTCCCTCCGTCTGAAAGGCTGGGTATACAAGGCCACAGTGAGGGCCGTTCTGTTCTATGCTAGTGAAACTTGACCCCTTCGGTCTGAAGATCTGAGGCGCCTTCAAATCTTTGATCATCGTTGTTTGCGAAGCATTGCTGGTGTCGGATGGCAGCAGCGTGTCCACAACGATTATGTGCGTAGGCGAGTACTAGGTAGTGATAATAATGCTAGCTCCCTAGAACAACAGAGAGCACTGAATAAGTTGCGTTGGCTCGGGCACATGCTACGTATGCCTGGTCACCGCTTACCTAGGTGGGCCTTGCTTAGTCTGCCAGGTATAGGTTGGCGTAAGGCTCGAGGTGGACAGAAGTTGACTTGGTAGCAGTAAATGAAGTCACTCACGACCAAACTGGGTGCCGTTGGTCCGTCTCGCCTTCCAGACTCTAGTCCACGTGACTCGCCTTGTGCTTGGCTTGAGACTTTACATGACATGGCTCGCAACCGACACTAGTGGCGCGTCTGCTGCCGTCTCCTAATCGGATTGCCTGTTTAAAGGTTGTTTGGTGCTGAGTTATCTGCGGGGTAATGGCTGATTATGACGCGTGGCACTGAAAGCCGCAAGGAAGCTGTCTCACCGATGCCGCCTTATCTTTGCACGATAGCCAGCTGTTTGTGACGGTATGTTGTCTACACAAGGTGTAGACGCCTTGACCCTGAATATTTGCTTAGGGCATTAAGGTTTTCAGGTAAGTCCCTCTTCTCTCCCTCTTCTTATTCTTTATTTCATAGGTCCTAATGGTTGTATGGCAGCGTAGCATCAGTTCAAATGGCTGATGTACTGCTGTTGTTGTTGATGATGATGATATGCGATCGCATCCATAATTTCACGTGGTACAGCATACGACAACGGCAAGGAAGTTCAAAGATCAGGTATAAAAGTTTGAGAATGGGTCAAGTTGTACTATTTCAATACAGATAGTAAAGGGAATGCGGTTCGAGATTCGGCTCAACTGAGATATTTACCAGCTACATACGACCCAGAGAAGACAGGAGCGTGGGCGAAAGAGGTCGACAGACGTATGTAGCAAATTACGTTGCAAAGTGAATGTCGTGCTTATCGATGGGACACATGGTAACCATCCGGGTGTGCTGATGAAGGGAAACTTGGGAACCTCTACTATGCACACGCATTAGAAAATAAAAAAGTAAAACAGCAGAAATTCCAATTGTGTTATGGAAGTGATAGTCAGGTACGGGAAGTGGAGGGTAGGAAGGAGAACTCCGGTGGTCACATATCTATTTGTAATCATGGCATGCCTAACCAAGATGAAGGGATTTCATGCATGCTGTCACCAGAGCCCTTCGATTCGAGTATGTTGATAACGTGGAAGAGGGCGATGGCTAGCAGCTATGCGTAAGAAACTGCGTACCGACGACTTATGACGCAGTTCGACTCAAAAATAGACGATACAATGTGAGACGGCATTGAGGGAATAAAGTGAGAACGTCATTTAAATGTGAACGAATCAAAAAGTATTTTGATCACCACACACAAAGATAAAACCTTAAGTCTAACACAAAAAACGCAGGTGAATAGGTTCATGTAGCCGAGTGGGTCATACAAGGTGACAGAAGCGGCGAGTAGACGCTGAGCTGATGTAGTTGGTTGGTTGCGATTAAATCCGAGTGGAAGTAACGTAGCGTAACAGTTGGATGTGTAAAAAACAGCTAATGAGAGGAAAGCCTGGTTGACACATGCAGTTAAAGTGTGCAAGCGGATAGCTATGGGGACGATACTGAGCCCGAAACCTCTGTAATTTTAAAACAGGCTGCACAATTAGTTTGCTAGTTACTCGGACAGCTCTGAGTGACCAGTCGAAACTGGGAGTAAATAGGTTGCAGAATAGACTTACCCTTTTCAACCGGCCTTTTCGGATGCAACACAAAAGATTCTAGAAACGCGGCGGAGGAAGCGTGTTTCCGCAACAAGGCAATAATAGCCCCTAACTGGCTGGAACAGGTGAACGGGACGGTGTCCACCAAAAAACCCCGGACATTGGATCGGATTTCGTAAGAATGTTGAGTCAGATTGGGAAGTTGCTGAAATATAACCGAAAATGTAAACATGTAGTTTTAATAGTGACAATAATGATAAGAGCTGAGCATAGAATTAGTCTGGAATTCTCAGTAAGAGGAGAGTAGAGTATCATACATATGAAGGTGGATAAACAACCAGTGACGTTGCAGGGAGTCAGTAAGTTTTTCTTTTTCATAGTGTGTGTCGCCCGCGCGTAACACACTGCACACTTCCCAACTGACTTCGTGCCCGGTTGCCCTCGTAAGGCAGAGACAGCGGCAGTACCGAGATTCGATTCCGGGAGGCGCTGCGATGTCAACCGAAGCATCTACTCCTAAGCCGATGGCAAAGAGAAACCGTGTGGATGTTGCGCACAATCGTGCCCTTCCAATACAAGAGGTAGTGATAAGAAAACCAGGCGACGAACCTAGTCACATCATGTGGTGTGAACGGAATGTTAGACTTCGACGACTGCCAACGATGAAAACATGAATAAGCGGTGATGAAGTGAAAAAGAGCTGGAACTGGTGAAGGCGCGCGAAAAAAACGATATCTAAGAGTCTAAACGGCACTGAGTCGGCCGGTGGCCGAGTGGTCTGCGCGCCTGGTTTCCAACCATAAGGTCACCGGTTCGAATCCGCGTAGGGTTGGGCGTCCTCGCGGTATACTCAGCCCGCGCGCGACTGGTGGTGGTCGCGCGGCAGCGAAGCGCCGTTATGGCGTACAGCTGACATTTTATATATATTTTAAACGGCACTGAATGTAGCCGTTTAGAAATGGTCGTGGCTATTGGTACACACTCATGCACACAAAATAGAAGCGTAAGGAAGTCCAAGAAATGGTGAGATTCAAGTGGATTGTTATCCTGGTAATTCTCTTCATGACGACCATGTGACACAAATGTACACGGGGCTATTTCCGTGACCTTAAGACCCGGCACAAGGAAAACAGCAATCTAGTTAGGCAACATTTACGAGCACGATATAACTCAAAATGATGGTAGCTGTTCAGTTGATGGGCGGCTCGCCGTGCTGGCTAACCAACTGCAAACGTTACGTCACCAGTCCAGGTGGCATCAAAAGTGACTTCGTTACGAATTAGCCTTGTACCAGTATCTCCAATAAAACCGCCAATCCCTCCGTAATAATAATCTAACTGTAGCTGTTGACGGAACATGCGTAGTCAATCAGTCCAGTCAATGAGTAATTCAACAACTGAACATACACAAGTGTTTGGCACACTGGAACCAGGGCAGAAACGGAAGGGTGGACGACAAATAACAAGTATAAGAGTAACGGCGGTGTACCAGTAATTTCAACTGACACGTCACCACCACATAACCATGACATCCATACTAGAGAAAGAGAGAAGAGAAAACGGTGATTAGTGCAAAACCTACGTCTTCCGAGCAAACATTCAGGATCAAGAAGTCAACGCCAGTCAAAAACAAATGGCCATCGTGCGCAGATAAGATGGCATCAGCGACACAGCTTCCCTGCGGCTTTCACTGCCCTGCGTCATAATCAGCCATTACCCAGCAGATAACACCAAACATTTTGAACAGGCAGTCAAACTAGAAGACAGCAAACGCGCCACTGGTGACGACTTCGAGCTAAGCCTTGCAAACTCACCAACCGGGTCGTGTGGACTCCAGCTGGGACGGCGATAAGGACCAAGAGAACCCTGTTTAGACGTCAGTGACTTCATTTTCCTTTGCCAAGCACACGGTTGTCCCCACGAGTGACACGCCATCCTAGATCCGATAAACAAATAGAAGAACTAGGTAGGCGGCGAGTCGGAATACGTGGCAAGTGCTTAAGCCAACGCAACACATTCTAACTCATTTGTTGATTAACTCTTAGTGCCCACTTGTGAATCTTCCCTTTGCAGACAAGCCGCAGACAAATGACACAAGCAACGATGTTCAAGGATCGGAAGGTATGCGCTAATTTTGGGTAGAAAGGGCCACGTCTAGATTCCGAAGAGAAGGATTGATCTCACTGTGGCCCTGTGTACACATCCTTAAGAGTAAGACAAAGCCTTGTCTAGAGACAGAAATATCACAGATTCATGAAGGCGGATTTTGTTTTGAAATACATGAACTATGTGCAGCAGTCGCGCGCCCGTGACTACAAAAGCAGCAGTCAAATTGGGTACATTGATCAATGATCGCCAGATTGCCGTTGACAAGGAGTAAAATGCTAATTCGAAAATACAAATCGCATGTACGAGAATGCGCTTATTCCAGAGTTACTCCAGGGTTACCCGGACTGCTAGCAATTGTCAAAAGACGATGGGTTATCGTCCCTGTTGTCCACATCAACCATCGGGTAGTATCTCAGCGAGTATGTCTTGAGATTCAGTACAAAAGCCTTATACGAGGGAGAAAAATGGAATAAAAATGGAAATCAGACATCCCCAGCGAACACCACTGGTGTTCGCGGTGTACGACAATCAGTTGTAGAATTTAGTGGAACCTATGGTGTTCAAGTACATGAGAGGTGTAATGTTCACATGTTTCATGCGGACATCACAGCAAGTAGGTCAACAAGAGTGATGCGGTCAGTCGAATCAAAGGTGCGCTTGAAACTAGTAATAGTTGGCCTGCGGAAAGGGTGCAGCTGCTCTAGCATTTATCACAGAGCAAAAATGTGACCACTCCAGCTCCACGCCAGTCGAAAACATCTCTGTTCTTCTCGCATCTGAGAATGTGTCCGACAGCAACACGATAAAAGAGAATGGACGTCAGTATTTTCAGTACAACTGTCGACAAGCGGACATCTACACAGTGAGGATAAAGGTTGAGAGTGTCCTTTGTGGATCTTATCATGATCGATAGATTACAGTTCACTGGGACAAGTGCCTTCTAGTATGCTTTATCGGACAGGTGGGTTAGATCTCTGCAGATGAACGCAGTATCAAGATCAAAAAGCGAGGGAACGAGAGAGTACGCACTAGCAGTGCCAAAACGGTTGATGACCATGACCAAATTGTAAAAGTTGGGGCTTGGTCCCTTTTAAGGAAAACGTCTTACACAACTAGTGTCATGTCGTTATGAAATCACATAGTAAAGGTGCTACCACGAGTTCCAACTTAAGGGGCTGTTGTACCAGTTGAGAACCAGTAGCTAAACAGCATCGACTCCTGGGACAATCTCGGCGACATTAAAACGACGTAAGACGGTGCCCGTGGTCGTATTGGTTATACGTCCGCATCACGTGAGTGAACAGGGACAGCGGGACCGGTTGCGTGTCCGGCAAGATGAGGTAAAGTGAGGTTGGTGCTTATACGACATATCGTCGACCTATGAAGATCGACCGTCGAACAGTGATCTGTAGGATTTGCTAAAATGTTCAAGTAACAAAGAATGCAGCACAACAAGACGAACGCGTGAGTAAGGAGGGCGGACAAACATAAGACCGGTCTATAACCAAACAGATGTACAAATGCACTCGGACTGTGGCAAAAATAACTAAGTGAGGAAGAAGTAAGCAAATGCGCGAAGAATATTCTTTTCGATAATTCTCATCGGGCGTGTACAATTATGAAGCAAAATTTTGGAGAATAAAGCCCGTAGAGGCTTGTACAGAAAGCAACCAACTCATTAACTGGGCAGTATGAAAACTAAATCAATGGTTTGATCAATCAGACTGTCGCATTAGGAAGCAGGTGATCAAGGCAGGTCATATGTCAAGTTCAAGGCCAAGGCAATTTCAGAGCCTGTAGCAGTGTGCGCTGTTTGCACAGCTCTGGTTTTAGAACCTTGATTGCAATGGCTTCAGAAATGCTCAACAGATGTTTCTTAAGCTGTTTTGGGTAGCGTTTAGGGATAGTATAAACGACTTGAAACGACTGGTTCATCTGGACTTGATGTCCAGTGTCGACCAAGTGTTGTAAAACGGAACTGTTGATGGATTTTACCGTGCCTTTTCGTAGTGACGCAGGACAATGTTCAGCGATTCTTTTGGACAAACACCTGGTCGTATGTCCAAGATACCTAGCACCACAGGTGCAGGTGAACTGGTATAAGACAAACGATTCGGACCGAACCGGGAGTTTATCCTTTAAGCGCTGAAGAATCAATGGTCTTGTTTCGGCAAGTAGTTTTAGATTGGCGGCTGGAAATGTCTTGGCCACTGCGGTCGAGATTTTTCTATTCAACACTTCGAACGTGACATCACCTTTAAAGGGAACTGTAAGGAATACGTTATTTTTGAGCATGTAACGACACATTTGACAGTCAAACTGTTTGGAGTGCTTTTTGATGAAAGGTACGGAGTATCCATTTTCTTGCAGCGTGGTAAAGATGAGCCTGATTTCGCTTTCCAGTGTCTCTGGACTGCAGATTGCTCTGGCCCGAAGGTATAAGCAACGGACTAAATTCCTCTTGAGTCAGGTGTACAAAGCTAAGGAAGTGGGTGTGTGGACCTACCCACGTCGCTTTGTGAAAAACATTACTTTTGATCGTCCCGTTTACAAGCCGATGCAATAGAACGTCTAAGAACGCCAAGCAGCCATCTTGCTCAACTTCATTGCTGAATTTTAATGATGGGCACACTCTGTTAAACTGATATAGTAGGGTTAGACAATCGGTGGAAGAGTCACAGACAATGAAAGTGTCGTCCGTGTAACGGTGGTGTAAATCAAATGAACATATAAGGGTGTTCAGGTCTCTACGTTCAAGCTTTGAAAGGAAGGTGTCGGCCAAAAAGGGGCCTAGGGAAGAACCCATTGGGACTCCATCTATCTGTCTATAATACGTTGAAGGTGCAACGCAGAATCAATTCTTTTAATTTATTCACCGGAATTCCAACATCAATGTTTCTCTCAGTGATGAAATCACAAATGAATGTCACAGTCTTTACCACGGCACGTTGGTGAAAAGTGATTCTACGTCAAACGAAAGCATTAATTTATCCTTCACGTTTAGGTTTTCTATTCGGTTCATAATTGTACACGCCCGATGAGAATTATCAAAAAGAGTATTGTTCGAGCACTTGCTTACTTCTGACTTAAATGAGGAAGCCGTAGGCGCAACCAAGCCATTTGCATACGAGTAAAATACAGGATATGACAACGGTAAATGAGAAGAAATTTAATACAATTGGAGGGTACCACGCAAGTTTTGTTGCGTAGCCAACAATCAACCGTTGCTGTGTTACGGAAAGCATAGTTTCAGTAACACCAGGAAGTAAAATTGAACCAAACAAGAAAGTGGCAACAGAAAACATACCAAGTGAGTGTTAATTTGGCTCAAATGCTTTTGGCCATGTCGTTGCAAAATAAGTTGTACCAAATCCTGTTCTTCTTGTCCATTTTTGCTGATGTCCATGTTGGGTAGACCTAGGGAGAGGAAGGAGAAGATGCTGACATATACAGTCATAACACAGACCGGATATTGTGATACCTTGCAGATGACGGCTACCGCAGTAGGACGAGAAGTAAGAGTGTGCAGCACTAGATGATGTGGAAAGTGAACAAAACTATACAGGTGATTTAAATGTGGTGATCCAGTACAAAGTATCCTGACCAGGGTAATATGCTAAAAGTTGCCGCACACACTAACTAGAGATGATGTGCGAATCGCTTATGAATCACAGACAAAACACGTTGCATTTCCCATGCGAGAGCATGAGCAGTGAATAAGTACGGGTCACTTGGTAAACCTTATTGTCAAACCGATCGGGCACTAAACAACAAGTTTACGAAGTCTGGTTGGAGCTTTAATGAAACTAAGTATTGTTGCAACCCATGCCCCTCCCCACAGCAACGTAATATCGATAAGGCAAAACTACGCAGCAGAAGGGTGTAGTGCAAACACTGATGATGCAAATTCGAATGTAACAATGTGATATGGTTAAATGGGTACAGAATGTCTGGATATAGGCAAACATATAGCCGCATATGAGGACTAGTGGCTGCGGGATAAAAGTTCGTGGGCCTCATCAAGCCAGCTTATAAGAAAGTCCACTTTGCGGCTACTCACGTAGAACAAAACTCCAAGAGGGATACACACCAAGAAAAAAAAGAGCTGAATACAACATTTAGTCATTGTGACCGGAAATAGAAAAGTCACAATCGACACACCAGCAAGTAACAAAGTGGCTACTACAGCGTCTACAATCAAGATAGAATGAAAGGTGATTGAAAGATGACAGTTTTTGAATAGGAAGTTAGTGATGTCCAACTGTTACCTTAGACGAGCACAGGACCCAAGGTTACTTAGAATAACCGTACGGTTTCTTGTTGAGAATTGGCAATGACATTGGTAGGAGCATACAATAAGTCGTAAAAGATAAGCAAACTTCCGGAAAGGGACTCGAGGGGAAAGTCAGTTGCCAAACAACAAATTATGCCGAAAGAAAACAGACGCAAAGGACGCAAGCCTGAATTTCTCACAAGAAGTTAATGGATCTATTCATGAGTGCTGAGTGATTTGACGTCCTGATATATATAGACAGGGTGTAGTAGTATGAGGGAAGTAACAGTCAAGTAAGAAGTCAGATTATTTGATAAAAGAAGCAGGGAGTCATTTATCTGACATAACAAGTTAGACCCCAATATCATTCTAACCGATCATTGCAACTGAAGGAAGACTACCTGAGCTACTATGGGCAACATCAAAGGTATGTATCAAAAACCTAGTTCAACTTATCTCTAAGATTTCCAAAATGAGATGAAGCAACCACGATCATGGCACAAATAACATCCTTCAGCCAAGGGAGGAAAATCAGCCGGACAAGTGTCCTAAAATAATCTCAAAATAGTGGGTTGCGTCGAAGGATGTCGATCGGGTAATTGAAAACGCAGTACCAGAGTCAGTGACGAATATGAATTAGGTCGGGAGGAGTTCGAAACTTGTAATTCCCTTGATTGTATACTGAAGCACATTCGTTTAAATCGCAGCTACAAACAGCATAACCAAAGGGTTCAAAAGCACTAGACTCTATAGAATGCAAGACACCGCAGCGTCTCTGCGTGCATTGTTATCGATTTTGCTACCCACTGATGTGATCGGTTTCTCTGTAAACCGAGAGCATCCGCATCAAATTGACACGGGCGGATCAAGCAACTGAACCACAGCGATGGCCTAAGGCGGAGGTACTCGTAAGTACATATGCGAAAAGTAGGATTATTGTGACTGCTGGAAAATGTCATAAGTAGTCAGAAAATAGTAGACTCAGCAATGAACCCAGTTTACACAATGTCCACAGTGAGTGAACAAAAGCTCATGTGATTTTACAAAGTGAAAGGACCGGGGTGGATGGTTCAGGACTTGCATCCGAGCTTTTCATTTGATGCTCGGATGGAAGGGCGCAATAGGGGCAACAACAAAGCTTTGCATATCCATGTGAAGTGGTATTGACGGGATTGGGGAATGAACGAACGGTTTCTGCAATGATCGGATTATGGACGGTGTAATCAAGAGTGGGATTAGGTAACAGTTGCACTAATACGACTCAAGTTAGTGACGAAGACAGTTGCGGAAAATGTTCGGAAGGTGTAAGCAGTGAGCTTAATGATTGAGGTGATGGTAAGAGATAAGAAAGCAAACTCCATGAAACGCATTGCTTGCCTGTTATGAGTTCCAATTCCCGTATCGCATCCGCTGGCATGGGAATGGCGGGTTCCAGAAAGAGCACCAATTCTGCTTCGATTGCGACGCATTTGATATCATCCGGTTGTGCGAAATCTGGAATCCTGTTATGAAAAAAACGACCAGAAGTAAGAATACAACGAGGACTCGTACGAATAGCAACAAGTGACAGTGCAAGTATAAACGTACGCACCGACGAATTTCACAACTAGATACGCCAAAATAAGCTAATAGAGTCCGCCAAAGGTCAGGTTGTGTTATGGTTCAGTTAACACAACTAGCACCCGCAACAAAAGCAGATACGAACCCATCGGAAAAGTAAAAAGTAAAAGTAAAGACGAAATGAAAAGATTGACACTAAGAAGTAAGAGGTCGTATGCAGGATCGCCAATGTTATGTCAGATAAAAGTACATACCACTGAAATGGCGGTATTTGAAATCAAGGGCAGAAAAAATGCACAAGCCTGACCAAATAGTTGATTTAATATCCCCACGTCTTTTTCAATGTTGTCATCAAGCTACCCGGTGTATCCAACCAATCAAACGTGTGACCGGAAACTGCAGTGAAACAGTTGGTTAGCAGCCACAGGCAGGACATGAGTAAATCAGCATAAACGGTTCAAGCAGCTGCATTAAGTGATGGACAACTACAGCATTCACCTTGTCAGCCATGCAGAATATTAAGCAGTTAGTGAGAATCGAAAACATATGGTGTCCTAGTGTTCACAACGTGGGTAGGCGTTTCATGTCATGCAAGTGGTCGATGATTGAATCGGTATAAATAAGAGTGGGAGTGATAAGAATAAGATCATACTGTCTTCACAGACGGACGACTACTCAGGTTTTCAAAGGAAACGCAGGCGTTATGCATGTGAGCTCAAGCCGCCTCTGGTTGTCCGACTAGAGAAGTAGATGCGACTATCTAGAAAACTAATCCGATTAATCAATTCGAGTGGTAATTTGGTGAATGTGAGAATCGGCCTCCTATCGATCTAGATCTGCAACAGCAAATGAAAGGTGAGAAACACATACAGAAACAAGCATCGTTATGTCTCAGCCAAATCGGAAGCGTTGGTATAGAGACTGGGTGCTATCCTAAGGGAGCTTGATTGATCGCATCATCAAAGTTTATCATAAAGCATCTTACTGGAACGTCCACCCTTGAAAATGTACATTGTACCATTCTTGTCTCTCGTGATAACAAAATAGTAAGAGGAGAAGAGCAGCCCTAACGCACCTCAAGTGCCCCGGTGATGTAGGTGAACCAATTCCCATAGAGCTGCATGCAGCTCTGGGAAAGTGTGTAAGAATCGCAGAATACTTGAGTCTTTCGTTCAAAAAAGGAAGTGCCATCAGCTGAAGCAAATGCAGCCGGCAGTTCTACGTAGGCCGTCATGGCAAATCGCAAGTACTATGGCGCTGCTCAAGCACCAGAAAGAGTGTCAAGATATGGTCGATGCAACCAAGACTAGTTTGCATCTATTCTACATTCTCCAGGACAGTGAGTCACCGAAGTATTAAGTAAAGGCAAGTAGGACAATGTTTCGCAGTTCTGTGGTTTTTTTTGTAAAGGTGGAGGACGGTCAATAGAGGTTTATGCTGAGGCATCGTTGCAATTGCCCACATGATGTAGAATAAAGCAGTCATACCAAATAGTAGTGAGGCGCTGACGTCTTTCGTCAGTGATGAGAGAGGTCGAGTGGTCCAGGCCCCTTGTTCCGCATAAACATCGCAAATTTCCTTAAGGCTCTACGATGATAAAATGTTGGCATCAACGTCACAGTAAGCTTTAAGCAATTGAATAAACTACAGCGAAACCCAGGGAAGGTAGGAGTACTACTTAAAATGCTTTCCTTAACATGCAGGTCGAGTGGAATAAACATGGAGTAACCACGCGTCAATCACATCCGCAGGATATTTTTGCAAACCTTTACTTCGTAGTAGTTGAAGCAGTACGTTGATGTTCCCGATAGCCATGGTGTTCTCCATTCGCCTAGCTGTTGACATTCACCAACAGTCCCGAAACCGAGCAACATGGAGCCGGTGGAACACCGCAAGGTAATATTGGAGCGGGGTTCAGCTCCAATTAGCGGAAGCAGTTATAGAGACAAACCGGATGGCGCATGGTTCAATTTCAAAGCGAAACACGTTAAGGCAATCGGTTTCAAAGCATGAAGAGCGCAGTTGAAAAATGGGTAAATGGAAAAAAGATTCATGTATCTATAGAAAAAGTCAGTGGCCAATGAAGCAACATAGTCGATATGGGCCCCAAAGAAGTGAAACCACATGGGTGCTGATAAGTTGCATAGAAACGCACACAAATCAGAGAGACATAGATGGAGTTAGTTTTAAGCAACATGCATCATGATGACCAGGTAAAAAGGTGATAGGAGAAGTGCATCAGTACGAATTGGACAAAGACATAGCGGTCCGGGAACCGAAGTGAAATGAACCCAGTTGACATGGCTTGCGCGGCCACAATGAGAAAACTAAGTACACATGGTGGGGAAAGAGGTAAAAAGAGTACAAAAAGAGATGAATGGAACTAAGCAGACTATGAGGTAAATGGCTAGATGCAACAGTCCCATTGTCTTCGTGATTGCGCTAAGTAACTGATGTGGCCAATCTCATGCAACTCCTCTACAGCCAAGAAGAAGCGATGCATCAGCTTGGTCAAAGATCTGGTTTGACATCTTCATACATTGTGGTCACGTCACCATTTGGTTTTCACCAACTATGTGAGACAATAGCGAAAAATATATGCCGAGGTCAGTCGTCAACGAGCACACGGCCGAACTGACTTAGTCAAAGCAAGTGGATAGAGATCAACAGTTACATCAGCGCAATAAAAGAGGATTTCACTCCAATTCCAAGTGGGTGGACATCAGTTATGCCCAAACAGTGCGTACAGCAAGTAGAAACAATACGCTACAAGTACAGGTGATAAAACGCTGTCAGTTTTCGAATATATCTTAAACACACAGTGACAATATCACAGAACCATAACACTGATGCTACTTTTGACTGGTAGGTTGGTATCCGGCCGTCTTCATAGATGGCAAAGAGGTGATAAAGTCACACGGGTAGTGTTGATACGCGTGAGGCAACAAGCTCGGCGATTTAATCAACTGCTTACAAAAGCGAACTGATCGATCATCTCCAACGGCGGCCGAGTGGTATCTACGATAGACGGCATATCAGACAAAACATTTCAACAGTGCCTAGCAAGTTCGGGATGAGCACCATGGGCCGAAACGTGTGACGTGCAACAGTACAGAGACGAGGTTTGACAAAGTGTTAGGTGTATCATCCGCGTATTAGTCAGCCAGAAACGCGGCAGAAGTTTCGATTACAGATCTGAGGAGCAACGGTGGGGTGCACCCCAACTCAAAATTTCTGTTGAATGCGATACCAACCTAGATTCATCGACAGTGTATAACGAGAGTTGCGAAAAATATGACCAGTATCGACAGATTCTAAAGTACGTAAGTGAAGACTAATTGCGTGGCCACCAACTTGTGCGCATGCTTCGGAGGTGCAACACCCATAGATTACAAGGCAGTGAAAAGTAAAAGCAAATGTTGTAAGAACGGATGTGCTGTAAAATTCTTAGCACAAAGGACGCTTTGGGTGCATCGTCAGTATAAAGGGCGAAGTCATTGGTGGCCTGTTTCGGGTTCACCATGAAAGAATAAATTTGGAAAATAGGATAGACGGGAAATGAAGCAGAAAGAACACTGGCGATGATGCCCTGTAGCTGAGTGATATTCCTAGGGAAGAAGGATTATGGTCCGGGCTTCATAATTCAGGCTGAACAGAAAAAGAGCGGGATAAATGAGGGCTTGCATAGGGGAATCCACCGTGAACCTTTGACTCGGAAATAAAGCTGGCAAGGTGCCTGGAAGCAGATACAACTCGCAGGTTTAGCAACATGATCAAGGGAGGCTTTGACTGAGGTGGACAGTAACAAATCAGTGAATAAGGGCTGTATCACCCAGATCACCAGAAAGGACTCGTGGAGCCTGTACATTACACCAATAAAGCTGAGTTTATAATAGGTACGCTGTTGTTGTCCATGGTCAGGTTTAAGAGAAGGAGTGTCATCGACTTGCTCAAATCTCTGGTGCAGAGGCGATTGGGACTGAGCCTATCTGACCACTATCTGCTAACCTCTATCATAGGATCGGCTGAAAAGGTGTATGGAAAGTACCACTTAGCGAAGCCAAATGAATACTGTTAAATCTGAAACTCGCCGTTTCCCCTGAGACCAACAGGGAGTGCTAATCGTTGCTATAGGAGACAGGTGCTTTGTGACAGCGCTGGGCTCAAAGTGTTGTTTCTCCTTGTGAACCAGCCATCATCAACCGGGGACAGATTTTGGAATGTTTCTCAAGTTTCGTAACGTGCGATTAAACGAGTGTCTGTTCAATCCGATTCGCATAAGTTCCGATCCTATTTGTGACGGTTTATACATTATACCATTTTGACTTCGAACTGAGCATTTTGCAAATCAAACTAAACGCCGTTTATTTTAAGCAGAATAAGTAACGCGACTGGCGGTCAGGCTAATATAAGCCGAAATTTTCGGGCAGCGGACGCTAGTACAAGCCCTTCTCTTTATCACAAGCGGTGGCCCAGTTTTCCCCTGTCTTCCTATCAGCCTTGCGTATTGTGTGTGTGTGTGTGTATAGACTGTTGTGACTCCCCCATATCTTACCTAGCTTGATTAGACTATTGGTGCATGAATCGATTAATAGGAGCGACGAGAAGACGCATTTCCTAGACAGCGACGGTGCGAGTGGACGTCAATGACGTAGAAAAAGATCATTACCAAGCTTGTGATAATGGATGGTAAAACCCCTCAAGAAACTGATAAAGCATTTAATGTCAATGAAAGCGCAGTAAGAAACATCATCAATACCTACAGATGAGAAGCTATCATTACTCAGCGCAACACAGCGAAACAACAGAATGAAGTTGACTCCCGATGACCTACAGCGTACTGATGACACCCCTGAACGACATTCCGAGGACACTTTGGTGCAGATACAGCAGAAGCTGAAACAGAACGAGATCCACATTTCGGTATCCAAGGTCTTCAACGCCCTCAGAAGGCTAAAGACTACGTTCAAGTAGAGCCACTAAGAGCTAGACCGCGTCAAGTGCCACGACGATCACAAGCCGGTAGGCTTACGCTCTCGGTAGGTGCGCCGTACCATAAAGAGAAGTGCATCTCCGTAGACGACAGCAGATTCCACCTCTATCTGCAGGCGCGCTCAAACAGACGGGCTCGCGCGAACGTCCTCTTGCCCACAATCAGAGGCAACGTGGTGATGCTGATTGTGGCAATGGATAACGAAGGCATCGTTCGCACAAAATTTACCAACAATGGCACTTGCAATGGTGCGAAGTTCTCGATGTTCGCCGAAGAATTTGTGGCGCGTATACGCTGCAGAGTAGAGTGAAATGGTGCATGGCTGAGTGTAGGGGAAGCCAGGATCCACATGCCGGATGATCTAAGGAGGACACTGGGCTAGTCTAATCAAATGAGGTTTTTGTCGCCCTACTCGTGTATAGTAAACCCAGCAATTTGGTTTTCAAAGCACCTAACTTGAAGTGAAAATGGTATAACAAGTATTGTGCAGTAATAATAATAATAATGTGTCAGCCCTTAGGCCGTAAGGGCGCTTCGCTGCCGCGCGAACGCCAACAGTTGCGCGCGGGCTGAGTATACTGCGATGACGCCAACACCTACGCGGATTCGAACCGGTGACCTTGTGATTATATGCCGGGCGTGCAGACCACTCGGTCACAGGCCGAGGTTGTACAGCGTAAACCGCACATGATTCTCCGTAAGTGTAGACATCGCGTGGCTGTTCCCAGGCACAGTGACAGGCGAATTCGGGATGGGATGTCGTTAGCCGTGCTTGGGAGTACAAGATACCCCGTCGAGTAAGAGCATGCGCAAGAGTGAGGTAAGCCAGCCAGGAAGCACAATGTGAAAACAAGGAGTCGCAGTGATAAGTAGAGGATAAATGGTGTATTGTAAATTTACCTTCTTCCGTCGGCGTCCTCATGAAGGGTGACCAGAGGCATAAAAGCAAGATGCTGAAAATTGGGAGACGGGTACAAAGTCGAGCTCGTCGATGGTGTTCTTGGACGAAGACCAACGCGTGCCATGTAACCACCCAGTGTTTTCGGTCCAGTGGTGGAATTTTGATGAGGTGCACTTGGTCCGTTAGGCACTTCTGTTGGTTGGACAGCCTGTGAGACAGCAGCCTGGGCAGGAGTGATAAGATAAGTCAATTGACCGAGGCGTCCGCCAGCTCGGTCAAGGAAATGCCCGACCATAGATTGATTGACCATACGACGAACGGCAAATGCGTCGCCATCATGTTGACCGGCCGACGAACGGCGAAGAGACGCCAGAGAAGTTTCACAGCGACCGATGGCAGGGCCCTGGACTCTGTTCACTTGACTCAGCATGGAAATATCCTGCTCAACCGCCTCGAGACACATGAAAGCTCTGGCACGATCAACCCTGCGATGAAAAAAGGCAGAATGAATTCAAATTCACAGACACAAAGAGATGAAATGGTACTGTAAACCAAGAAGTTTAAGTATGATGGGAAAAGTAGACGAAACCTTTGTGGAAAAGGAGAAAGAGATAACTAAACATGGCTGGGGTTGCAGGTGTGGCCCTACTCGTTAACAGCAAGTGTCGAAGAAAGGGAGAAAAGTTGGAGAGCACTTGCTCATAAAATTGCGCTCAACAAACAGTTTCGTGCCAGTAGGCACCCGACAGAACGGCCTGTCATAATTCGTTCCCATAACGAATGGTTGGAAATGACCCCTCCCATAAAAACGAAAAAAGGTCAGGATTGAGATCCGGAAGAAGATGAACACGTTTGGCTGGACACAGTTGTTGATATGGCTAGGAGCCGACCTCAGTGGCGTTCGTGTTGTGAGTTACTTTGTCCCTCCCCGTCCCGCTAAGCCTCGCAACCACAATCTTAAATCATATGCATAATATAATACTTAATTTTTCGGCACAATAGTCGGCTGTTAGCTCTCCGGAGCGATGTCCATCCAGTACTGGTGACTAAGCCGACGTGCCTCTGCTGCTTTTTATCTTTTTTCCTAATGTATTGCGGTACAATAGCCAAGGTGTTTTCTGCCTCTAGGCAAGGTGTATAATGATGATGAAAATTTTTCCAGATATTTCGTTGATGTTGATTGGATGGTATAAAAGAGAATACCGCTCACAAATTGCGTCCACGAATGAGCCAAAATGTTCAACAAAACCCGGCAAGTTTGTTGGCAGAAGTGTCGATGTGAATACATGCGTGAAGACAGTGGGATATCACTTGACCCTCTCTTTAAGTGGGTACGTGTACCACAGAATCCGGATGTGGCATGCAGTGGATGGGATGCAGACGAAGGATAAGTTGAAAGAAGCGAGAGCTAGTGCGTAACGCTAACGTAGCTACCCAACAAGATAAGCTAAGTGGCTCGGAAACATACAGGAGAGAGAGTTTTTTGCTAGCTTGATGATCCGATAACAAATGAGTAGGATAGTAAATAAACAAAGCAATGACAGAATCCAAGCAATTGCTGAACGTTTATCCGGTTATGCGGTGTGCTCGTATCATGCGTTGTTTCCGTTCCCCTTACCATATTATTTTGCGTCATTTACTGTGGATTGGTCGATTTTCTCGGGACATTTGCTAAGGTCAGTAGCTTTGTCCTATACATGTAAAGAGCAACCATCACCACTTTAGCGCGCGAGTGGTTGACAAAGTGTTATCTTGACGGCACTGTTTGCATTAGAGGGCATCGTTCCTATTCCATCGAGGATATCACAAAAATTCCGAGAAGAATGGATGCCTCCGCTACGAGTTGCGCAATGTAAGCTCTTGACCAGCATCTGGTGCTCTTCCTTGACTGAATGTTACATAGTCGATTTTGGCAAAAGGGTAAATATAGTTCTGTCATAAAGTCAAAACGTTTCTCAACGGATTAACAAGAAACGTTCTGATAAAATAGGAAAGTACTGCGCTGGTTGGTAAGTCGGGTTCTGAAGCTATTCTGCTAAACAAAACACAGATCCAGATGCTTTTAAGTAAGATGCGATCCTTGCTTGATGACTGTGGATCTCATGACTAGAATGCAGTGAATGAAATAGTTAAATACAGTCGTGTTGCCCATGTCTCCAAACATGCCGTCCAACAATCAATCAGCCAGAAAAAAAGAAAATTAGCTGCAATATTTAGAAAGACCCATGACTTTTCACTTAGCTTACGAGTGCACGAGTTTGCGACAAGAGTCAAACATGCGCAGTTAACGCGGCGAAAAGTGAAGAACGTACATTCCTACAAACAAGGTGCAAGCTGAGCGAGCCTGTCAAAATACTGCGTCGTAGAACCAGTTACAGATTTCCTTTGAGTACTGAGATTGTTGTCGGTGAAAGCCACTTACTTCATGACCCAGTTGCTATCAGTTAAGCATTCAGTTACTTCTTTGCCACTTCCATGAGTTTCGCAGATGACCTCGTACCTGTGTATACAGAACTTACAGTCATAAGCCTCTTAAGCAGAGTCGATATATCGATCAACGGCATTCACCAACTTAGCAAGTCAATCAGGTCGTCCTCTAAGTTGGGATCTGATAGAATTCCACCAACCACTATTTGACTAGCAGGGCCTGATATACCACTGCACCACTTTTTGAAAAGCGTGTGATTTGAAGAGAAAGTGCCGGTTGACTTGAAGGATGCCATTGTACCACCACTGTATTTGGGCAAAGGGAGCAAGCAATGTGCCACAGATTATCGTGGCATGAACTTGCTGAGGTATATTAGGAAAGTTATAGCGCGAATCCCGCTCAATCGCCTCGTCTCTCTGGTCTACAAACCAAACGTAACAGAACAGCATCGAAGCCTCCGCCCGGGCTGTAGTGCCATCAATATGCTGTTCGTGGCTCGTAAATTGCTATTAACTGAATTCAACAGGAAAAGGTAAACTGGTAAGGGAGTACGAGCAAACTGATTTCAGATGCACGCCGATGACAATAGAGGAAGCCGGCTGAAATTCAGAAGAGAGGTCGACAAGAGTAAAACGAAAATTTGAGATCCGTGGCTGAGCAGTTGAGTTGAGTTCAGTTTTCAGTTGATCAACGATGATCGGAGCACCGAAGTGCGGTCGATTCAGTTGCCACGACTCACATCGCAAGAATTACTAAATAACAACATTAGACAGTGACTAAAGACAAATAGGATGCAAAGAAAATGGAAGCAAGAAGGAAGTGCGTTGGAGTAATCGGCATGAAACCAAAATTAACAACCAGATGAAGGAAACCGAACACAGGAACGCCAATGACTACATGACTGTGCCAAATATGACAATGTCTCCAACCATCGGTGTGCATCATCCCGACGCCCCCATCCCCGAAGATGGCACGCAAAAGCCTGACCAAGTCTCTCGGTTAATTTCTTCATGCCACTATGTCACGTTATGGACTGGCTACCTCACGGTTTCACCCAACTTCGTGCGGCCCCGGAGTATAATGCACCCTGAGGAAGCCGATCAGCGGACACACGAAGGACATGGTCTAGACAACGCAATCGTTTAAGATTCAGTAAACACTCGAGAGGGGCACCAGAAAGCTTCTTGCCGATAGCCAACTGGACGACGTCAGTATTGCTCACCCGGTGTTCCCACCAAACGTGAGCAATACTCCGCAAGCACCGGTGGTCAAACACGGCCAAGCGTTTAATGTCTTCGTCGCGAACTGGCCAGGTCTCTGATGCATACAGTAAAAGCGGTCTTACCGCAGCGTTATACTCCCTAGCTTTTTCACTGACAAGCTGCTATCCCGCCGTCTCCATATATGATTGAGCCTCTGGAAAGCCACAAGGGCCTTGCTCATATGCGAAGTAACCCCCTCAGTGATGTGATCACCCGAGGTGACACAACCACCAAGGGCAGGGAATGGAAGAAATTTAACGGGATAGGCTGCAGCACAAGGTCAAAAGTGAAGGGTTTGTGAGTACACATTCTGTATAACTGGCACTGCTACTTGTGAACCTTAGGGAAACGATCCGATATGAGGACAGTTTGGAACCTGCAACGTTGAAACTACGGCTGGTGAAGCGATCAAGCAGTACATTGTGTAAAGTGGGGGGTCGAATGAACTGGTACTCTTAAGGTGGTGTCGGCCAAGCCCACCCCGCTGCATACCATTGAGCGATCACTAAAAAGGCATGTAGTGAATGAAGACGTTACTCTGCGCAGGGGACTGATAATAAGGTAGCTGGGAGCGTGCTGGTCATTACTGTGGTTGTTAAAATACAAGCCGCTGGATTTCTATTCTTGTGTGACAATGAAGTGTTTATGCACCTCTTCGAGGAACAACTGGGTCTGGTAGACAGTAGGCATGGAGTCACATTAGAGTGGAATGGCTGAAAAAGCATCAGGATAAGTCCGGTAGCACATAGCTTCACCACATGGCAGAGTTACATTGTTGGTGGGGAATGCTGAGAGATTCTAAGAGAATGTCAACAAATAACCGGACGAGGAGGAAAAAGTTCAAACGTGTGAGAACAGCGAGGGAGAAGGAAGAAGGGGGAAGCTGACGTTTAGTAAGTCGCAGAGAATTGTGCCGCTGAAAAAGTGGAAGAACAGTAGATCAAGTGAAATATTATTAGAGGTGATGTCGCCACAAAAACAGATGAAAAGACTACTAAATCACAACAAAGGCAGACATTATGACCTGTGAGAGTGCGATTTTTAGCGTTAGTTTACGGACATTGCGTAATAGACTTTCCCTGAAAAGGAAATAGAAAAACACATCACACCGATATCCCACATTTCGTTGTGTGTGTGTGTGTGTTGTGAACGAAGGTAAGGTGCCAAACGTAAAGATGTTGTTCCTCGCGCAACTGATGTCAGTCGAAGGAAAGGCAGAAAATGTCAACTCCATTTATCGACTAAGATCAGCTGCCTCACTAAGTCCATAAAAGTGAATCACTACCTCAGTGTGGGTAGCTGGAAACAGGAACAATTGAATCAGCTAATGCATCAAGTAGGTTCTATTGCTTGTCGTAGCAAGTGGAGGATTCAGTGCTGAGAGGTTGTTTGAAGTGATGAGTATAAAACCCGTTGGAGAGTAAGGCACAGAGATCCAAATACCTGATAACAAATTAGACTAGATGCAGAAATGGTGAGAGTGTACGCCAAGGGGTCGCGAATCGGTGTTGAATACGAAACCTCTGGATGACAGGCGGTGAAGCATATTCGAGAAAATAGTAACAACAGGCAGCGGTACAACGAAAGCAAAACATGCGTTCACACAGGTCGACTTACGCGTTGCCAGGAACAGCGTGCACCGTGACAAGATTGCTCACATGCCGAAAAAGGGAGCCGAAATTGCCACTATTCAGTTCTTCCAACAACTCTGGACATGGCTAGATGGAAAAAGCACCGAATGACTCTGTGTATCAGATTACTTTACCAATGAAATGAGGATACAAGTAAAATCAGAAAAAGGAAAATGGTTGATGAATGAAGAGTAGGAAACGGCACCGAAAATTCCATGCAAAGCATGAGATGTTAGTTGTGCTCAATTTTCCTGTTAAGAATCCTACTTCATGTAAAGCGGCTAATATTGTATCGTTTGAAACGTTACAAAAGTTGCTACGGTGCGAAAGAAGCGCCAACATCGACAATGCGCTGTTTACAACTTCCAATAACATCGCAACATAGTTGTTGAGTGACCTGAAAGTAAAGAAACTGATCATCTTTCCCAGTCTTTGTTGTAACTACCAAGGCTCTCCTGGAAGGAGTGGACGAGTTGAGGCAGTGCCCTCGTTTCACAACGAAAGCAGTTTTCATCTCACAGATACCTATTGTTGATATAGGCCAATGATTACTTGTGTGACTTCTAAGCAGATGCCGTTTCAGGGTCTGCTGAGAGTCTGAATCTGGTCCTTCAAGAAGTTTCAATCGAAATGATATAGGCTAAAAAGCTCATCTAATTTTTGAACGCCTGAAGCTAGGCGGACAGGCAACCTCCAAGTCATTTATGGCCTCCAGATAATCTCAACGAGCATCTGTGCTTTTCATCTAGTTCGTCTGTAGAAGACATCCATACTACGCCGATACGAAATTCCGACGCTTCGCTGCCACGGTGCCATCGCCAGTCATGCGCGGTCTAGCGATATTGCGAAAGCGCCCAAATCTATACAGATGCAAACCGCGACTTCTGGATTACAAGGGGATGACATATGCAGATCGGCCACCAGCCGACTACCTCAACAATAGCGACTGGCGTTCTGGCTCAGACAGATACTAGCGCTTCCAGAACTGTCAGTTCAAATAGTGAGTAGTTTGCTGTGGCCTTCAGTGTGGCTGCCAGGCAACAGAGCACGGTGGGAATCGAAGGATGTGCACCAGATCCACCAACACTTAAAATGATGCGCACGGTCTGCTGCTGGTGATAATGTGGGCAAGTTGGGAACAACATCCCCGTTACTTGAGGGTTAAGTAATGCGATTCAAACCTTTCTGTCCAAACAGTATATGGTTGATATAAGGGTTGCGGTCGTCACACAACTGGAGAATTCGATCCTTCAAACAACAAGCATCAAATCTAACAGCCAACAAAGAGGCGTTCTAACTGCGACAAGCGACCCACTTGTGTGCATGCCGCCAGCAGTGTTGCAATTGCCCGTACATATGAGGGAGGAGCTGCTGACAATACAATTCTTTTAGGGTGGTAAAGTTGTAGTTGGCGGAGGTAAACCTAGATGCAAAGAAAAAGCGTCTTGTCTTCAGTATTCCTATCGAGGCAAAGATTAACTCTAACCAGTGAGGCGGGAAGCGCAGTAAGCGTCGCTACAGTTCGAGATACATTCACTGCTGCACGACAATGCTCTACTGGCATGATTACCATTGACCAATACCGAGTGGTAACTTCTAAGCGCTTCTAGAGCAACTGTCAATGAACGGTCCAAATATTGGGTTTCAGTATCCTTCTTGTAAGAGGCAACAGGGAGTACGATAGCCTTCTGCTTACAACAGACATGTAAAATCACGAAAGGCTGGTTGCGATCCCCGTCCGATTGGCACTGTGTAGAAACACTACAAGTTGTAGGGTGATTTGGTGGGTATGAGTAAAAATTAATTACATCTAGACTCTGCCATGAACGTCCCGGAAAGCGCTGTACGGCCGTTTCACCCCTTTGTGAATCGCCAGCAGTACGCATTCCATTTGGCTCCTGTGAGCCTAGATGTCATGAATTCCTAGTTAGACCATTCAAAGCTCATTTCGAAGTTGGCGTCTGCTGGTGTTTTCCGACTGCCTGGCTAGGGACCGAAGGATGATGAACACGTTTGGTTGGATACAATAGCTGACATGGCAAATAGTCGACCTCAGTGGCGTTTGTGTTGTGGGTCTATTTGTCCCTTCTCTTCCTTTTAGCTTCTTCCTCCAACAACTATCCAAAATGTGGTATTGGCATTATATTACTTTTTTTATACCTTTTAAGCCTACACTGCTTAATGTCTTACTCTTTCCTGTCGCGGCACATTAGCTGAGGCGTGTTTCTCACCCTCGGCTAACGTGTACTGTCTGTCTGCTTAACAACACTGTGACATGGCGGTCGTGACTCGCTACAACATAAAGTCACTGCCCCGTGGATATCCGGATATTACTTTCTAACCCACGGACACCAATCTCCTACTCGCACATTACCGACGATATCAAACATTCAAGAATGGAGCAGCACAATTACAAGCACAAACTGCACAGCTACATACACACGTACACAATTACATACCTACATAGCCCCTACACAAAGACACACCGTTATGGCAAACATATCGGATTTTTGCACATTCTTGATCACGCACTGTTATGTCAAAATGATCATGCCTGTAAAGGCGTGCCTCGCTTTGTGAGAATAAAACCTATATATATATATATATATATATATATATATTTATAAAAGCAACTATCAATACAATAAACACGGTTGGCGGCATCCGGTTCCGGATTTGCCTGTCACTGCGGCTTCCAAAGGACAGAGGTATCTAAAACTATGGAATGAATGTGCACAACAAGTACAAGAATCCTAAAGTGAAAAACACACAAAGAGAGGCTTATTTGTGTTTTTCACCCACCGTGTTGGCTTCTTTGTCAGTTTACTGACTATGCTGTTGATCAGTAGAATCAATGCATAGACTCATGCAAATATTCCATTGTCCCCGCTTACACGCCCTGTTCTCAAGAGGCTCCAACCAGCGATATTCATCATCTATGGTTTCCCAGCCCGGAAGACGTACGGGGCCGACAACAGCTAGACTGGAAGTCAGCGCCTTGACGTTTTGTCGCCATGTGGTAGGTTGACAACCGCGCAATTTCTTCCAGTGCGGCAGTGCGCGAGCGAATAGAACGAGCTGTGTTAAACGCTCGCACGGCATGCGTAGGACCTGACCTAGCCACGTCAGCTGGCGAAGCGGTACTAGGTGGTCGAGAGGGATGCCCGTATTACCTGGGACACGACGTCTAACATTGTCATTGCAAACGTGGTATTCCAAATAGACACGAGCTACCATCCGCAGACAACCGTTTACAAACGTCGAAATGCGACGCAAATCATTTGCAAGGATCGGCCACGACTCGCTTCCGTACAACAGTATCGCCTGAACACAAGCATTGCAGACCCTGCTCTTTAACAAAAGTGAAATGTCACAACGCCGTAGATGCCGCAGATCAACGAAAGATGATTGGGCTTTGACAATAGGGATGAAATCTTTCCTCCACTGGTGCCATCAGAGACGCACCTCCAAAGGTGGACGAAGACATCCACATGTTCAAGCTGCGCGCTTTCAAGAATCACCATGTGAAGATGGACTTAACATTCCGATGGAGCGAAAGTCATGTCATACTTGGTAGCATCAATCTCCAAGCGGTTTAGAACAATCTGCGTGATCTTATGGTTGTCATACAGCAAAGTAATATCATCAGCATAGTCCAAGTCAGTCGGGCAGTTGTCTTGAATAAGATCTACGCCAGAATCTTGGAGACCTTCCAGAGCGCTTAATAGGACATCCTCCATGGCAAAGTTAAAGAGAAACGGAGACAAGAGCATCCCTGTCGCACACCGCTAGTGACGGCGAAAGGTGAAGGAAGCGTACTGTAAGCTATTGCTCATGAGTGACATGGTTGTATAAAGCTCGAAGAATGGCGGTCTATATTCGGGGTACTCCATTCCAATGTACATAACGCCATAAAGCAGGCCAATCGACCGAGTCGAACGCATCTCAGATGTCCAAAAGGCAACAATGGTAGGCTGGCGATAAAGATGGCGCCACTCGAGCAGTTTGCGGATCGTAAACAAGTGGTTCACACACCGTCGAACGAGGCGGAAAACAGCCTGTTCCTTACGGATGTGTAGTTTGCGAATCGGTGTTAGTCTGCGGAGCAGAATGGATGTTAGCAATTCGTAGGCGACGGATAATAGACTGATTCCTTTATGGTTGACGCATGGGGTAAGAGCACCCTTTTTAAAGATGGGTACGATAACCGACTCGTCCCAAGAGGATGGAATCATTTCTTCACACCAAATCTTGAAGAACAGAGCTGTTAACTGGTTGACAATTGCTTCACCACCATACATTAACAGCTCCGGAGGAAGTCCCTCTGAGCCAGCAGCTGAATCGCTTCAAGTAACGAAGCTCAGGGCTCAAGGCAGACATATATATATATATATATATATATATATATATATATATATATATATATATATATATATATATATATATAACGGACGATAGGATTGATATAGAGTCATCGCAAGCTATGGAAATCCAAGGAAAGTAATGGGTACAATGGTTGCTAAAATAGACGGAACAATGTTTTAATTTTCACACGCCGTTTGTCCATTTCTTTTGTCTTTTTAGAATGTTGAGTGACAAGCATTTAGATACACACACACAAATATTCCACTGGTCTCGGTTGGACACCATAGCTTCAAACGTTTAGAGTTATCGGAATTCCTCGTCTTTGGATCAGCAACCAGGCGGACGTGTGGATTCGACGGCAGCTAGACGTGAAGTAAAGCATTTTATGTAACGTCGCCAGGTGGACACCTGGCTATTGCGTGATTCCATCCAGTCCAATCCTGCACTAGCGAACCGGGCACGGTGGGACAAACATTGTGATAACATGCGTAGGGCGCGATCAGGTAACCACAATTAGCAGAACAAAACCAGCTTGTTGAAGGAAAAAACCGCATTCCCTAAGACATGACGTCTAACTTCATCACTGCAGACACGTTGTTGCCACCACATACGAGCGATTCTCCTCAAGCACCCGCTACCGAAAAACGAAAGCCGGCGCATGTTATCCACATGAACTGGCCACGAGTCGCTTCCATATGGCAACACCACCCGAACGTTGGCATTGTCAACACGACTTTTCGACAAGAGAAAGACATCCCGACGACGCCATAAATGTGTCAATTTGACAAACGCTGAGCGAAATGTGGCGATGAGGAGAATGTTCCTTTCCAATAGTGCCACCAACAGACACGCAAGTTTCCAGGTAGACAAAGCTATCCACCAATTCAAGCTATGTGCTTTGAAAAGTGAGCACGGGAACGGGTGTGTACCAATCCTGGAACAGCACTTTACACTTCGAGGGGATGAAACACATACCGTGCCTAAATGCGTTAATCTCCAAACGGTTCAATAAGGTCACCAAGTAAGCCAATATCATAAGTTTAACCTAAGTCGGTCGCTCGCACGCCTAGTTGTAGTAGCACCGCGCCAAAGTCTTGGTAACCTTCCAGTGCTCTGCACAAGACGTCAACAGGAGCAAAATTGAAGAGAAAAGGGGGAAGTAAGACATCCCTGTCGTACAATTGTTGACAACGAAGGAGGAAAAATGCTTGCCAAAATCATGAAGTCACAGTGCGCGCAGAATGACACTGTACTTTTCTTGGACCTCATTTCTTAGCCAGCAAGGCCATAGCGCAGGTTGATTAAACAACTCGAATGTAGCATGGATGTCTAGGAGGTGGTGGTGTTCAAGGAGTTCGTGGAGCATGGAAACTTGATCCACACATTCACGGCCAGCACGGCAGCTACCTTGCTCTTCAAGGTACTGTGGCTCCCGAGTTGAGGGTAGTTGAAGGAGCAGAATGAATTCTAATAGCTTAGAGAAAACCGAAGTGAGACGAAACCTTCAGTCATTGATGCATGAGGTGAGAACAGCCCACTTAAAAATCGGGACAATGACTGACCCATACCAGTAAGAAGGCGTCTTTCCTTCATGTACTATATGACACTGTCGAAACTCATACATAAAACGTTATAAACATTCTGAGACTTATTGCGGCTGGTTATAATTGGACTTTACCGGTGCATAACGGAGTGAACGTGATTGCATTTCGTGAAGTCAAAGGCTATACCAAGGCATCGGATATTAGACTACTGAGTAACCAACCATTAGTGGTAATCACTGTACAAGGTTTCTCTTCCCGTTTGGTTAGTCTGGGAGTAGCATCCGTCCACAAGATACTATCCCCATCTTTTCTAACCTTCATCGCTTTCCCTTAACACCCATTTCCCCCTGGAGCTGAATGAAAATCATGCTGCGACCCGATTCGCAGTTTCCAGGCTGTTAAATCCAACAAGAACGCTTTAGAATGCGCTTTAGAATTGCGTTTTCAGAGGGTTCAGTAGTCCGTGCAATCCTTGGAAAGTGTGGTAACAGATTCGCAAACTGAGCCACAATGAAGGATCCAAGAACAGTAGCCGAAGTTGTCAGAAATATCCAAGAGAAAACGCTTAACAACGTGCTGACGAGTTTTGGTGATCAGACGCAATGCAGTATTACATGATGATGTTTGAAAATAGTCAAGGAGCAAAAGCAATAGATGGACACTAGAAGACACCGTTCCTTAGGGACATCATCATCATACACAGCAGTAGATCAACCATTTGAACTAATGCTTCGCTGCCATACAGTCACAACAACCTACGGAACGAAGAATCATCATCAACACTACACGTTAGCAGAGGGTGAGAAACACAACCCGGCGAATCTGCCGCAATACAAAAAGATAAGATACTAAAAAATTACACTACAAAAAGATTCGAACGTAAGCAATATGATGTTAAATAGTCTATTATGCGTTTCGTATGAGATCGGAATTGGAAAGGGAACCTAAGGGTAAGCGGGATAGACAAAGAAGTTCACAAGACAAACGTCATTGGGGTCGGTTCCTCGTCATATCAGCAAGTGTGTCCAACCAAACGCGTTCACCGTCCTTAGGATCCTAGCCAGAGTCAGCACCAGTGGTGGGGATCAGCCGGAAGAGCTTGCGGTAATGGCCTACTGCTTCTGCCTCCTCCATTTTTTGGGCCCGACTGGTCCACCAGGCTTCTTTTCCGCATGTAGGCTTCGCATTAGTTGGCGCCTAATAGCCCGAATGGCCACACTTTGCTCAGAGAAAGCCGATAGGTTTCTTCTGGATTCCAACAGGTTTACCGACTTCTCGGATATCTAGTGACTGGTGCGGTGACGATCCATAGTATAACAAACAGATGCTCTTGCATCGTGCATGGCGACGGAGATCCTATTCCACTGAATCTCAGTGTTAATAGAACAAGGGAGTGAAAGTCCGGTACGCAGTGCATCCTCGTAGGCTTGCCTGACCGATGGCTGGGAGAATTTCTCAGTTGCCAATCGAGGGAAACGCTTAGTGCGCCTCCCTGTAAAGTTCATGGAAAAGCGACAGTGTATCAAGGCATGATCAGAGTCGACACAGGTACTGCAGTACGAGCGGCAATCCAGGATGGAATCACGCCATCTGTAACTTATGGCTATGTGGTCAATTTGGGTTCATCGCTGACCAGCTACAGGTGGACGCCAAGTGGCACTTCGGCGCACACTGTGTCTAAAAGCAGTGTTACTAAGAAACTACTGGTGCATCGCACACAGTTGCAACAGACGCTCGTTGTTGTTCCTACGGTCGGAATCAAGCGCATAATTACCACCTAGCTGAGCTACTGAAGAGCGCAGACGCTCTACTCGTGTATTCATATCGCATGCAAGTACAATGATACCTGAACTAGTGCGCTGCGTAGTAGCGTGTTCAGTTCGTGACAGAGTGTGGTCTTGGCGGCACTAGAACTGCAGTCGGTGGGAGCATAAGCGGAAACCACAAGCAAACAGCATCTTGTGCTACTTCGTGAATCAACCTTAGTTGGTGTCGTCAAACGGGCCGTATACAAACGGCTGCGCACCGGAATCCAATCAACGAACGATGACACAGCCATGGAGCCGAAAACGATGCCCATCCAAGCTGGACCAGAAGCTGCCGCAGCAGGGTCTCCGGATAAGTGCAACCAATAGCGAGAACAAACCGGGCGCAGTTAATTCAACAACCCCATTAGGGTCATTAATTCGGACACACAACTTACATCACTAACCAGTGTGCACAAGGTGCGTACGAGTGCAGCCTATTGATCTATTTCTCTTAGAGTGGGAATACTAAACGCCGCCAGTGAAACGGAACGGCGTGGCCTTATAGGGGACTGTTGCCGAGAAGTGTCCAGTGAGTGGTGCGGGAAGGTATCTGTAGATGGTTTAACGCCAGTGGCATTACGGCTGCTGTCAATTAAGCTGGGAACTATAGAAGAAAAGTTAGTAATGGGGACTGGGAGGGAAGTGAGAGATACATGTGGAAAAGAAAGAAGGGAGGCGCCAGCAGTAGCATATTTTTGATTATCCGCCCTGCTGTATGCAGCAGATAAAGCGACCCTTGATGAGCGCGCGACGGCCGATGCAGGATGTAATTAACGTTTGGGGCTGAGATATTGTCATGGCGCCCAGATATAGACAGGAAGATGATTCGGGTCCTCAAGCAAAGTCTTTGACCCAAAAGCCTGTCCTTAAGACACCAGGAAGGTGGAAATGAGTTTGTTTTACGGAAATGGACGCCATCCCATTTTAAACCCCCAACTAGGAAGACCAGAAGACTGAGTTTGTCTGACTTCTAGCCTTTGAAAAATCTAGTAGGAGTGGATCTCAAGGGGCCCGGGGGTACCACACAGTATAGCTCAGCGGATCAAAGAGGTAGGCAAACCGTCATACCAAGTAAAGGTCTAGTGTCGTTCCTTGGGACAGGCGAGACCTAATTTGTAGTAGATAGCAGTGATCAGTTGGTACGTGTCATATTCATCGACAACCTGCAACCTCTCAAGACTAAATGGGGATCGTAATGAGATGAACGCAACTACTAGCCAAAAGAAGCGACACCGTTTAGCTTTGGAGGCATTTATAATAAGGATGTACAGATAGATCGTATTACACCTGGATAAATAACGTCCCATAGTGGACAAGTTATAGTATGACAAGAAGATAAGAAATCAAACGGAAAATTTGTCTGGGCTGCTGAGACTTGTCTTCCTGGATAGAGGACTTGGGATAGGTAGGTAGCTGTGTGTCTCCCTCCCGCTATCATTAGCTCGCTCTCACATTCATCCAACAACTGAATGATCCCATGAACTTCCATCCCATTAGGTGCTTGCGAACCCGCTCGATGCCTACTATGGTCACGTTATCACCAATATCTCTAATATCATTGAGAAGTGAGCAGAAGCAGATTCACCATTCGCATCCCGGCGATTGATTAAACGAACAAAGTATTTCGCCTTTGGGCAGTGCTGCTGTCCCTGTGCTACGAAAGACAAGAAGGAAGGCACCAGCAGTACACCGATGTGTTGCACCGAGGTTTCGCTGCCACGTGACCACCAACAATTAGGAGCGCGCTGAAAATACTTTCAGGTCGTTTCCGCAGATCCGGACCGGTGACAATTTTATTACAAAGGAGACGCCTTACATCTTCGGTCACTGACCGACCTGGTACTACGAACTTTTCTTATTTTCTTATGCACACCAAGAATGTTCCAAAAGGTTAAATTTGGCTTGGATAAATCAGGAAAGACATTTTACGCGGAACATACCAAGATCTGATCGTGACTGTATTCAAACTGGACATCCGTGATAGTCACACATTCATTATGTTCATTGGTTCCAACAGGACCACATTCGGGTTGGGGGGATCTTGCGTAATTAATCTGTATGGAGAAGCACTCCGCAATTAGACGCCAGGCCGACGAAGCACTCAAGTCATCGGACTGCAGGCCGGCAGAAACAAGTTGTAAATCGTACTGCGCAGCGATTTGCTTCAGATGGTTCAGTAATGAGATGTAACGAATTATGGGGGTTCCGTCTTGTTTGTGTCTCACGTAAGCACGTCTCGTAGATGCTCGGTGGGCCATCGACCAGAGGTATGCTGGTGTCCGAAGTGAATCGCGAAATATGAGAATCGCGCAGACACTCTAGTATGAAAATGGTGAAATAGTGATAAAGGAAAAGAACAACAGTTTGACAGAAGAACATCGTAAAACTTCCACTAATGATTAGTTCAATTGTCAACAATTATGGGAAAGCGTGGAATAATAGGTGCATTATAATATTAAACCAGGTTCCACGGTTCACATCTTGCCAAGTAAGTTCCAAGAACAAGTGCGGAACAATATACGAGGTGTCCCCCGCCTCTAGCTAACGCGCATAATGCTCATGATGAATGGTTTAGAAACAAGCTTCAAATAGAGTCCATTAGGCGCTCCAGCTGTAAGTATAATAAAGATAAGAGTTGTGGCGGCCAGGAGTTTCTCTCATTCACCTGTGGTGTGGCAACAATCTAATTTCAAAGTATTCACTTCTATGACGAAGTTTATGGAGATCAGAATGTACCATATATTACCGTGAATAAGCCGATCCGCGTATAAGCCGAAAATACAACTCTGCAACGTCGAATTTGGCCAAAATGGTATATTAGCCGACCCCCCCCACTCCAAATCAGCAAAAGAGAAACGAAATTGTTTCTCACGATTTTGACGTCATCTCTACCTGCTCTCACTTGAGTGTGCTCAAGCGAAAGCTGCTCTACTATTGGATAGTTCTCGCGACCTAATGTGACTTGCCGAACCACATCCTCGTGTTGCCAGCCGGGTGGTTCGGGATTTTCCCGTTCCAGCAAATGGTTCGGCGGCAGTGTTCCAGGACCTGGTGGGTTTTCGCCTGACAAGCGTTCTCCCTATGTCCGTTTAACAACACGGTGACGTGGCGGATGTGACTCAACACTAAATAAAGTCACTGCCCCTTGTTTCATCCTGGCGAAGCATTGTATTCCAGCAATTTTATGCTGTAATTCTGGAGAGCATTAGGCTCCCAATGGGCGCGATTCCCTGAATCCGCTCCGCTGCCTTGCGGACAGGCTATTCAGTCAAAGGCTCGGGGTAGTGTCCCCTAAGTCAACACCCTACTTCGGTTTGGGCAACCAGGTATCATCGCGCCCACCGACAAAACCATGAACTCCGATGTGTTGTGTCTTCGTTTACGATTTCTGTAGCTTCTTTAAAGTCCCATGGGTTCTGATGGTTCTATGTCTATTGGTAGACGGTTGCAAAAGTATATATATATATATATATATATATATATATATAACGATCGTAGTTAATGGAGCTTAGAGTCATCAGAACAAAGATTTTAACAGCATAGATGACGATATTCACTCTGACATGCCAATGACAGATCACTAGTACCAGAAACTGTTTAGAGATTCTGACTCGGATACTAGTTTCGAACGATTCGAGTAATTTTAACAGCATTGTGCAGCGTTTGGATATGTGAGCCTATAAAATCGACCGTTCGGTCATGTCTTCTCCAATGTTATTGTATGTGATGGTGTTGGATTCTGTATAATCAGTATGTTTATGTTATTGCCATCCATCGCAAAAGTAAAATGTTCAATACACCGAGAATTTTCGACACAAACATAATGTCTACCTATAGGCACTTCAAATCCCCGCCTGGGATACCGTCTGTCACTAGCGAGTGGTGCCAAAGCAAGATAGGGGCATAGGTGTGCAGTGAATTTCTGGGGGGGATTTTGCATGTGGTTTTTTTCAAACTGCGCACAACCTTTGTATAAACCGACCCTCCACTATAGACATGAAAAGGTGTCAAAAATTCTTCAGCTTATACAAGGCAATATACGGTACGTCTGCTCCACAAAGGTTTACAGGAACAGGAATATCGTGGCATTATTCACATCTCTTCGATTTAGAATGATGCCCGCTTTGCTTACGCATGTACGGGCCCGAATAATTTCTGCCAGTTATACTGGTGCGTCGGTAGTGTCTATGCCACAGCAATCGCTGGGGGCCCAACTAAAATGTCAACAAAGTATTACTCGAGAGTAACATCGAGTACTGCTAGTCCCCTTCCATCACTTCACCATTCAGTGTATTAAAAAGTAGTAACCACAAATGGTCGCGAGATGTGTTAGTAAGATCAATAAAGGGTGATGCGTTATATGGGGATAAAGCAAAACAAGACTGCCAGAAATACCTACCCACTAGGAAAACATTCAGTTGTCTACGGTAGTGTTGAACAAGGAGCTAGCATCATATACATTTCGAGGAGTAGAAGAAGAAAGATAAAAGTCATTCAGGCGAGAAAAGCGTAAGTGTAACAAACAATGAAAGCAAGCATAGACCGGTTGACAAAGCGATAGTAGATGCATAACATGTAACGTAGTCCAGGAGGTACTAATGCTGATGAGTAAAGGAACACAGCACAAGTGCCCTAGCCAAGTAATGGATAAACTACTGTTCCCGGGAAAACTGAAGATAAAGAGAATTCCGAAAGATGAAGGCTGCAGCAAAAATGCATTCGCAACCAATAGGATACAGTTCTTGGTTATCAAAGTGCCAGTTGGAGTAAGGTATTGCATGATAAACGTAATCTTCGTGGGTCTAAACCTGGTCGGATCTCCATTCAGTTCAGTACAGTTCAGTTAAACAAGTATGATCCGAGCACCGAAGTGCAAGGAATCCAGTTGCCACGACTCACACGGTAAGAATAACAATAAATAACATCGGCAGGATAATGGAGTTGAGTGAAATAGGAGGTATAGAAAATGGAAGCAAGAAGGAAATGCGTTAGAGTAATCAGAATTGAGCGAAAATAAACAACCAAATGAAAGAAACCGAATGCACTTGCTAACCTTCGCCACTTATGGCGCCGGCACGACATCACTTTTGCTCGGAAGGGTAGAGTGTACAATGCAGCGGTACGTTCGACCCATCTGTACGGTTGTGAAACCTGGCCGCTTAAAGCAGCGGACCTGAAGAGCCTAGTTACGTTCGACCACCGGTGCCTTCGCAATTTAGCTCACATCTGGTGGGAACACCGCGTGGGCAACGAGCGTGTTCGACGCCTTGTTTATGGCACAGGGAAAGAAACTGAACCGCTCAGCACCGTCATTTCACGCATCAGGCTCCGATTGTTCAGCCACGTGTTACGCATGCCAGCCCACCGACTCCCGCGACGTGCGTTGTTTGCGCGCCGGGGGTGTGGATGGAAGAAGAGGAGGGGTGGCCAAGCGATGACTTGGTCCAGAGGAATGAAGGCCCTCACTTCTGAGCTGGCCTCGGTTGGAACGTCTCGGCTCCCTGGTTGGGGTCCGAAAGACGATGAACACGTTTGGTTGGACACACTTGCTGATATGGCTAGGAGCCGACCTCAGTGGTGTTCATGCTGTGAGTTTCTTTGTCCCACTCCATCCCTCTTAGCCTCCCCTCCAATCACGATCTCTTTATTTAGCCTTATATAATGTAGCACAGTAATTTTTTTGATGCACAGTAGCCGGCTGGTAGCTTGCCGGAACGATGCCCATCCGTTACCGGTATCTCAGCCAGCTTGCACCAGTTGCATTTTTTTCTCCTTTTTTCTTTGTATTGCGCCACAGTAGCTGAGGTGTTCTCCAACTCTAGCAAACGTGTATTATGATATGATGATGATGAAGTGCCCATCGGAACGCGTTTACGCGCTTCGATCAAAATGACCAATGCTGCAGAGATTCATTCACAGTTATGATGTCTCAAATCGAGTGCATAGCAAGCGTCAACGGTATTCATCATGGCACCCTTGAAAGGAGCCCACTCAGCGTCCGGCTCACTAACTTCATTCACCAGTGACAATGGGTGGGTCACTTCGTTATGATATTGCTGAACTGCAGACTGTTAGTTCAACTTACGGGTATGAAGGTTAGAAGACAGGCGCTTCATCGAAGTGGGAAGAATGAGCGACAAGCATGTGCGCATTAGAGCGTGGTCGGAATCCAGACATGTGCTCTAAATTGATCGACAGCCCTGGACTGATGCGCGCCACCTGTAGCCGATGGCAATATAGTCAATTTGGGTCCAAGTCACCGAGGAATTCGGTGGGCGCCATGCGACGCGGTGTGAACTTTTGTGCTGGAAAGTAGTGCTGCTAATTTGAAGAATGAGGTCGGCGCGCAGATGCAGGAATCGATCACCATAGTCTGTTCGGCGTGCATCGAGTCCGGAGCGCCCTCCCAGGTGTTGTTCAGAATCTGAAAGACGACCTACTTGGGCATTCAAGTCATCAAAAACAACCACGATGTCAGTATACTTCGTCAAGCGGAGACGAGGTGAAAGATAGCAGTAGAAGTCATCTTTGGTACCTTTCGAACTGCAGTCAGTAGGAACATAAACGAAGGCGATGAAAAAGCACCTCGTCTTCATACCCTTCTTATAAACCAAAACAGAGGTCATAAGTCGAACCGTACACATGCGACTGTTCACCGGCATGCAATCGAATAGATAACCTACAGCATGTATGCCGAGGACGATACCAACACCGTAAATACTTTGAACCATGGACTCGGTATCACCAGAGACGCGAAGTGTAGTCATTGTCCTAAATTCAGAACCAAGGAGTCGAAGATTCGTCACATCGTAGTTATCTTGTATGGGTGTTTCGGAGGCACAGCACACGTCAATACTAAGAGAGTGAAAGTCAGTGTAGCCTGTTGACCGACCTGACCCAAAGTGCGGACGACGTATAAAAAAAGCAAAGTGAAATGAGACACATGGTTTGATGGACGTTAGGAGTACCGATGGCAAAAGCAGCGAGGTCAGCAGCAGGACCTTGCTCAATAGACGGGGAAGAAGAGAAGAGAGGGGAGAGAAAAATAAGAAAGAGAAGTGTCGATGTGATCGTGAAGGCAAATGATACTTTGACGGCCCATTCCGAGACAGGTGTTTTGTTCGAGGTGCCCAACCTCTAGTTTTTGACTAAATAGTCTGACCCACAAGGCAGTGGGGGATTTTGAGGTTCGGTAGAGGGAGTACACCCGGAACCTTTATCTCAATAGCATGACTCACAAGACAGTGGGGAGCAAGTC